TACAGTGAGACAAGGTGTCCATTCAAACTTTCATGTACCATCCCTGTTGCTAGTTTCCTTACTGTTTTGAAGTTTCTCGGGTTTCAAGAGTAGAGCACCCGCAGGGTTGCTTTGCAATGCTGGCTCAGGACGTGCCCTGAACGGCAAAAAAGGGCGCTGCTTATTTCATGCGCAGTTCGCGGGCAGTGTTTTGGTGATCCACGGGTGTAATTGCTGTGTTCTCTCTGATGAAGGGCTAAGTGCTTGAAGTCTCTTTGGTGTTTCAACAAGGGGCCCACCACGGTTTCCCCAGGGATCAACACAAGCAACAGCCCTTTGTTGAGAGCTTCAATTGACAAAGCAACGTCGTGGAATTGAACGTGGCGTGCAGATTCGACGATCTCCGTTGCCGGATTGCCTTCGTGCCGCCCACATACCTGCAAAGCACTCGCACCGCAGTCGGCGAAGATACTCTCTCAAGCGCCGCGTGAGTGTCAGGTGCATCATTCAGGTGACCTCACCCTTGCTGTTCCTTTGCCCTTCAATACAACGCGATGCGACGTGACGATCCTCCTTGCCGTCTTCTGTTGGAGAGCTTCCAACAGGGAGTCGCGCTCAGTTGGTGCAGATGTCCAGCGCCTTGCGGGCCTTGCACGAGTAAGGTGCTCTAAACGCAGTGAAAGAGGCAATCAACTCTCTCGCACAGTGAAATGAAAGCGAACTGGCCTACATTTCAGGAATCCGCAGAGTCATTGCATGCACCGGATATTGCTCATTGCCAAGCCTAAAGCACAGGAATAGATAGATAGCGGCATCCATCAGCCTCGTGGCAATCCAAAGACCAGGCTAAGTTGAGTTGGTGCATCCGCTTGGCACAAATACCGAGCTCTGGCCTGCTCCTTTGTCAAAACAGGATCGGATCCTCAGAAGCGAGTTGCCTCGAACAATTTGCGCTTCTGGGTTTTCGCGTGGTCAGCAAAGCTTCTGCTTTGGCCGCACCACTTGCCAGGGAATGTTGCTTGCTTTCAATGCTTGCAACGCCTCCGTTGGCCTCAAGTGAGCTTGAAGTGGCCCCACGAGGGTCCAATTTGCTTGAGTCGCGGATGTTGCGAGATGTTGAACGTGTTGTCTCCGGTGTACCCTTGTGTTGGGCCACCATGAGTCCCAACCAAAACACCCGTTGATTCTGCTCTCCAAAACAGGGTCCTGTCTAGTATGGTCTGTTCAGCAAGCGTCCCGATGGCTTAACCCGTGAGCCCGTTTTTGCGCGCGAACTTTCCGACGCCCAAAAAGAAGCTCCACACCCACATCGACGCGCAGACGCCAGCGCACGCTCTTGCTGAAAGGGTGCTGCGAGGGGGGTTGCGAGCTGAAAGAGCCTGATCAGTTGCATTCACTCATTCACTTGTTCACTCATTCATTCGTTCACTCGCAGACTCGTTCACCTGTTCACTCATTCACTGATGGACCCATTCACTCATTCACTTGTTCATTCAGTCACTCGTTCCCTCACAGACTCGTTCATTTGTTCATTCATTCACTGATTTACCCATTCACTCATTCACTTGTTCACTCATTCATTCGTTCACTCGCAGACTCGTTCACCTGTTCACTCATTCACTGATGGACCCATTCACTCATTCACTTGTTCATTCAGTCACTCGTTCACTCACAGACTCGTTCATTTGTTCATTCATTCACTGTTTTACCCATTCACTCATTCACTTGTTCACTCATTCATTCGTTCACTCGCAGACTCGTTCACCTGTTCACTCATTCACTGATGGACCCATTCACTCATTCACTTGTTCATTCAGTCACTCGTTCACTCACAGACTCGTTCATTTGTTCATTCATTCACTGATTTACCCATTCACTCATTCACTTGTTCACTCATTCATTCGTTTACTCACAGACTCGTTCACCTGGTGTCTCATTCACTGACTGACCCATTCACTGATTCACTTGTTCAGTCAGTCACTCGTTCACTCACAGACTCGTTCATTTGTTCACTCATTCACTGATGGACCCATTCACTGATTCACTTGTTCATTCATTTACTCGTTCACTCACAGACTCGTTCATTTGTTCATTCATTCACTGATTTCCCCATTCACTCATTCACTTGTTCACTCATTCATTCGTTCACTCACAGACTCGTTCACCTGTTCACTCATTCACTGATTGACCCATTCACTGATTCACTTGTTCATTCAGTCACTCGTTCACTCACAGACTCATTCATTTATTCATTCATTCACTGGTTTTCCCGTTCACTCATTCACTTGTTCACTCACAGACTCGTTCACCTGTTCACTCATTCACTGATGGACCCATTCACTGATTCACTTGTTCATTCATTCACTCGTTCACTCATAGACTTGTTCATTTGTTCATTCATTCACAGATTTACCCATTCACTCATTCACTTGTTCACTCATTCATTCGTTCACTCACAGACTCGTTCACCTGTTCACTCATTCACTTGTTGACCCATTCACTCACCCACTCGTTCACTCATTCAGTCGTCACTTGTTCACCAATTTTCTTGTTGACTCATTCACTACTTCACTCATTCACTCATTCGCTCATTACGACTCACTGACGTATTTCACATGTCGACCTGTTTACTTATTCACCAGTTCACTTGTTCACTCATTCACTCACTCATTTACTTACGCGCTCATTCACTCAGTCACTCAATCGCTCATTCACTTGTTCCCTGATTTGCTCGACAACTCATTTAGAATTACTCGTTCACGCTTTAAGTCTCACTCCCTTATATACACACTTTTTACTCATTCACTAACTTTAAGAGACACCCAGCTGAGGAGAGCCCTTTGCTCGCCCCTAGTCAACGACGTCCACTGAGTCATGATCATGCGGCTGCTTGGAGGCGGGCCACAGCTGGGCCTGGACGAGCTGCAACTCCAGGTGGCAGCGGGGCGGCCTCGGCTTGCGTTCAGGAGAGCGGCTCTGCCCGGCGGCGTCTTGGGGCTCATGGGCTCGTGGGCCGACACGATGCCTGCGCTCCAATCTCGCGTCTGCCCCGCCAGCAACGCGCGCGCGCGCGCGTGCTCCTCGGCTTCCACGAGCTGCTCCGGATTGCCTTGCACCGGCCGCGCACGCCTTTGTCAGCTGGCGCGCCGCATTGCCGGTGCGGACAAACGCTCGACGCGCTCGTCGCCACTTGCGCAAAGTTGGAAGCGACTGACAGGATGATGACAGCGTGTGGCTGCAAACGCCGGAGTGTGGGCCAGCTAGTTGTAACCTAGTAGCAGTGGAAGCCGGTGGGCGGAAGTTTGAAAATAGAAGAGCTATAGTTCTCTTTCTCTTTCCGTTCTTCAATAGTTTTCTTTTGTGCGCTTTCCGCTCAATCTTTCTATTTTCCTTTTTTCTATCTATCTTGTTATCTATCTATCCATCGGTCTATCGATGTCTCCATCGATTCATCTATCGATCTATGTATCCATCTATATACCTATCTATCCACCTAACTATCTATTTATCTACTATCTATCTATCTATCTATCTATCTATCTATCTATCTATCTATCTATCTATCTACCTATCTACTTCCTAGCTATCTACTATCTAGCTAGGCCCAGCCGTTCTTTGACTTTTCTGAGCAACACTTCTGATTGATACTTCTGAGCGCCACTTTTGAGCGACACCTGATCAACCACTTCTGAACCAAACTTTTTATGATGGACACTTCTGAGCAACACTTCTGAGCGACACTTTTTCTGAGCAACACTTTTGATCCGCACTTCTGCTTAACACTTCTCTAATCGACAGCTTCAAAAACACTGCTGAACCACACTTGTGATTTCAATCAGAAAAGGCACTGATGAGCAACGCCTCTGATCCACGCTCGCTTCGACAGTTCTGAGCAACACTTCTGACCAACACTCCATACTGCTCATCGGCACTTCTGAGCGACACTTCTGCGCAACACTGCTGAATTGACACTTCTGAGCGACACTTCTGGGCAACACTTCTTTTTTTTTGATCCGCACTTCTGATTGACACTTCTGAGAAGCCCTTTTCATCAACTTCTGAGCAACCCTTCTGATTGACACTTCTGAGCGAAACCTTTGCGCGACACTTTTGAGCGACACTTTTGAGCGACACTTTTGAGCGACACCTTTTCACACTTCTGATTTTTCTGATTGACACTTCTGAGCAACACTTCTGAGCGACACTTTGTCTGATCGACTTTTCTGAGCAACACTTCTGATCCACACTTTTGATCGACTGATGTTTTGTTGCCCGCGCCTGTTTCAATCGCCTGGCCAGAAAAGTTTGGGGATGCCCCCGGGCACAAGGGGTCTTGGCAGCGTTTTTATGGAGGCCAGCTCCTCACGTGCAATAAAGCTGTTTGTACCCCGGCGGCCCCCGGCTTAGCGGGACGGGCATCGGCTGGCGGAAGGGGGCCCGGCACCGCTGTCTGCAAGCAGCTCGCAAAGCGGTGGCAAACTGCCATCAGGATTGCAATGCTGACTTCTGGGCAACACGCATTTTGATCCGCACTTCTGATTGATACTTCTGATTGACACTAATGCGCAACACTTCTGATTGACACTTCTGAGGGAAACCTTTGAGCGACACTTTTGAGCGACACCATTTGATCTGAACTAGTTTTTTTCTGATCGACACTTCTGATCGACACTTCTGAGCAACACTTCTGAAAGACACTTTGTCTGACCGACTTGTTTGAGCAACGCTTCTGATCCACACTTCTGATCGACTGATTGAGCAACACTGCTGAACCACACTTCTGATTAACACTAATGAGCAACACTTCTGCTCCACACTTCTGATTGACAGTGCTGAGCAACACTTCTGACCAACACCTCGGTTCACACTGCTCATAAACACTTCTGAACGACACTTCTGAGCAACACTGCTGAACTGACACTTCTGCGCGCCCTTTCTGAGCAACAACTCCCACACTTTTCATTGACACTTATGAGCGACTCTTTTGAGCGACGCTTGGTCATTACTTCTGAACCACACTT